CACTACTCTAAACCCATACTATCTTTACAGTGAAAAGTAATGAGTTAAAAAGCTATTAAACTACTTTCCACTAGTTATTCATAATACGCTCACAAATAAGTACTTATATAAGACATTGCAAATAGGCAATTAAAAAGGTATCTTATATATTTTAGAGTGCATTAAATGCTGGTTTTAACACAGAAATACTATTTTCATTATGAGTAGAATGTCGTACGTGACAGCCTAATTTCACGTGGTCTTTTTCATCCATATGGTGAGCTAATTTGATGACCCACCAGCGCCCTTTATGTATATTACACGCCGGTGGCAATTTTTCACATTGTTCTGCCGGTCCATGTACAAACTCTGACCCGTTGCAAAAATATCAATTCCGTTTACAACCATGCAGATGGGATGGCCTCTGTTGAGTCGGCAACAGCACCTAAGAAGTAATCGGTAAACCGAAATACGAATTCATCAAATAAGGCTAGGGTATAGTCTTCCGAGATGCAAAAACATCACTTTCGTTTACAACTTGACAGATGGATGTCTTCTGTTAAGTCGGCAACATTTAAAGACGTAATTGGTAGACCGAAATAAGTCGGGGAAGAGAACATACTGTGGTAAATCTGGTATGAACGGCGAATTCAATAGTATGACTTAGATACATCACCATTCAACCCAACACAATTCTTATTCATCCGACACACTCACTCTAGGTATACGGATGGATCCACATACCCCTACATCCATCTCGTATCATATACACTTGACACCAACTCACTTCAAACGCTTAGTCTAACAGTCACTCCTCTGTGGGGTATCTGTTGTCTCAGTAATAGCACCGAACGTATCCCGAATTATAGACTTTACAGTGTGACGGTCTTTTAAACAACATTCTCTTCCCACGACCAATAACCGGGACAAGACAAAGTCCCTGTGTTCTACCGGTTCCCGTGGTACCAGATTATCTGGTTCTCTGGTTCGACCCTATGTCATTCCAAGGGAAGGCCGAGGATACATTTGATCATCACAGTTTATAATCCCGGCACACTAGAGGGACTGCAATAACACCAAGATAGGGGAAGTTCATTAAGATAATATGCTTCGGGAGAATTATAGGTAGGAACCTCACCTTTTTTGGTATGAAAGTTGTAATACAATGTGCCCCGTGGGTGACTTTAGGTAAGCAGAACTGGCGCTGTGGAATGAATGTAATATAACAGTATAAGTACTTACGTATACGATTATACTAGGTTAGATTAGGTTGATAGGAGGATGTATACTACATCAACTCCAAAGAAATACACTTAGGCCACTATCGTTCCTGTTGTGCACTCCTTTTCAGAAACTAAGTTTTCTGAACATAATTCCTAAAAATGTTTCAATCAGTGTTAGTCAGGAATGTTATTTCCGGAAGAATATTACTTCCAAGATACTTGAATCTAACTTCGACGAATACCTGACAGTGTCATAGAAGGTGCTCCAGAGTTTCACTATCCTCTCCACATGCTCTACATTCGTCTGAATCCGCACGTCCAATTTTGTATAGATGTGCTCGTAATCCTGTGTGTCCCATCAGCATATGTACCATAATACTAACACCGGATTTGCTTATTTTGGGGAGATTTCTCGTCTTGCAGATAAGTATGTTGTTGTATAAGTCTTTACCAAGTTTTTGCTGCGTTAATAGCCTTTGCGATATTCAAAAAATTATAAATATTTAATAGCTTTTTATTAAAAGTTATATTTAAAATAGTAGCGACACCAAACTCCCATCACAACTTACGTACTTAAATAATTTGCAATTTAATATCCGTTGTCATGTTGGTCTTTACTCGTTTTTACACCAGTTTGTATCCCTTTTATGGTTACAACAGGACTATAATAATCAAAAAGCAAAAAAATTCTATATATTGAAATTCCTCACACATATGTGTCACAGTTGGTTGCTTTATGGACGAGTTGTGCCAATAGCTCGATGTTGCATTAAATCCATGGATTTATGTAATATTGACACAACGCCATTATTATAAATACAATTTCAATTGTACAATACAAACACTTTTGCATATTTACATAAATACTTAGAGATGCATAAATATATGGATATGTAAATATAGAACTGTGTATGTATTTCCGTTTTGTATACCTTTTTACTTACAACCTTTTACTCCATCCAATTGAAAATTTTGGTTTTAAGGTGTGTTGTCCTTTTTTCCATTATTTATCTACTGTATTTTACTATTTATTTTCAACTCCTATAAAATAGTCAATGTGGAAGCACGAATTATATTAATACCAGGCACAATTATTTTAAATATTGTATTTTTAGTTTTATGCCAGCAAATTACATGTAAAAAGTGTATGCGTTTCTGTGTCTCTTCTAAATGAAATAGTCAATGAACATTATTTATGAATTCGTGCGAAAACCACTATTATTTTTTGGCGGTTAGGAATAGTTGCAATATGGTTTAAGGGTATTTTAGACTGATTCTGGGGTTTGGCAGCCAAATAGATTTTAAAATATCTTGCTTGCCATACCATGGATAGCATGCTATTATTATGCTATCCATGGCTTTACAACTTTTATTTAAAATTTTTATTTTAAATTTATTTTAAACATAATAATCACTTCAATACATGTGAATTGTTTAATTTTTCCATTTTAGTTTGTAAATGCATATTTTCTGAAAAAAAAATGTAAAACGTTCTTTTATATTTTTGATGTTTTGAAATTTAACTTTTTTCTTTTAAATTATGCCTGAATGCATATTTAAGCGTGTATTTTGGCTATAATCAGATGTATACGTTTTTACATTTTTGCATTTAGCATGTTTAAAGGTTAGACAATGTTAATTAGAGACTTTAGTTTTTAAATGCATAGTGTGAATTTGTTCAAATATATGTACATATATTTTAATATAATGATCTAGTTAGTGCGTTTAATACAAATTAATGGTATTTTTTCCTTTAGTTGAATATACAAAATAAATGAAAATTCTTTTTTTAAATTACAGGAAAATTTTTAAATTCATTTAATAGAAATTGTTTCTAGTCTTCGAAAATATTAAATACCTTTAGGTATACCAATCGGTGTACTTTCTCCTAGCTCCTCTATAAGGTACCGTTAGGTAAATAGACTTAAAGACTAACTGCCTGATGCAAAAACGATATATTGTCGATCGGTATGTGAGCAAGAAATTTGCCGGTTAAACTTACCGCTTTGTCTCCCCCCGGGTATGTTTCCTTGATAAAAAACCCTAATCTTGGTGTATTGCAATCCCGGAGTAAAGAAGTGATACCAGTACCTCTAGTCTGCCGGAACTATAAACTGGTGATGTCAAATCTATCCTCGGCATTTCCTTGGAATGATTTGACATGGAGTCAAGCCAGAGCACCTCATAATGTGGTACTACGGGTGGTTGTTGCCCGCAGGACTTGTCCTGGCTGGTCATTTGGTTGAGGTTCGCGGGAAGGAATTGCTTGGTTAAAATATTGTTATATAGTGAAATATAAATTTTCGGAATAAGTTTCTGTTAACGCTCCTTGTTCCTAGGATTGTTACAAACCATAATCTAAGGCTGTGGATTATTAAAATGTTGGAATTGAGTTGATTATGCAAAGATTGTGTATGTGATGGAGTAAGATACTTGTATCTGATGGACGAGAATGGTCCTAGAGTTGTATCTGTGGAGATGTCGGAATGCCAGAAGGAGTGACGGTTGAAATGTTGGTGAAATTGGTTTAGACGTTATGCAGCTATAATACCTTAATCTTTAATTTATTGGCAATTTTCCTTCATGGCTCAGTCAAAGTAGGTCCTTGTGGCCACTGAAATAATTGAAATAATTGTCAATTGAAAATGGATCCGTGTTTCGGACTACCAATTACGTCCCCTTGGTGCTGTTGCCGAATCAACAGAAGCTATCTTAGTAGACTTTAAGAGGCGCAGGAATACACTGGGGTGAGTCTTTAGATGATGATAATGTAATGCATCAATAGGGCGTTTTCACCTGATGTTGGGTCCGCTCCTTCTATCGACTATAACCATTGATTGCCTTTTCCTTTGTCGGGGTTAGATTGAGCTTGACTCATGACATCTGTAATTCCACAAGGGGACTAATATGGCAAGAGATTAGATAGCTATACTGAACCGGAAATATACGTAAATTGCCAACTGAGTGTAAGAAGCACAATGGGGCGGTGGTGAGTCGTTTCAAAATCTCACCCAGTGGTTGAAAAAGACCACCGTGAAGTAGGCCAATAGGTGTTCACGTAAAGCATTTTGACATCTTACCGCTTTGTCTAAGGAAACAGTGCTACAGTGCCAATACGGCAGGTATTCACGTAAAGCACTTCGACATTAACCCTGCAGAGGAGTGACTATAGGACTAAGCTTTGGAAATAAGTTGGTGTGTGGCTTTGGAAATGAGTTGATGTCAAGTATATATGATACGGGATGAAGTGAGTGTTTCGAATGAATAAGAAGTATGTTGAGTCGATGGATGTAAGGTATCTTATACAAGTGATACCATTGGATTTTCCTTTTTTATCTGGTAATGTTTCTGTTCATACCAGATTTAACACAGTGTGTTTTCTGTGAGTCTACAGATTACACAGTGATGTTTTACATTTCGGAAGTTACGCTAAGGGGCTGCAATGGCCCGAGATTAGATAGTTCGAGTACTTTAACAAAGTGCTTGGGCATATCATGACATGTATAAAATTTGATACCGGCGTATAAGATACATAAAGGGGCGGTGGTGAGTCGTCAGAAAAGCTCACCCTGTGAAGGAAAAAGATACAAGTGTTCACATAAAGCATTTTGGCAACTTACAGCTTTATCTAAGGAAACAGTGCTAAGAAAATTTCGAACAATTATAACTTTTCAGGATTACTGACAAACACCCTATATCGTACAAGTTCAACAAACATGACCCAATGCTTTATGGTTCGTCCCTCTTTTACACCCATACTGTTTTAAATTAGGAAAAATCATTTAAATTTTTAATTTAGATAAACAAAGATTTTATTTTCTATATTTATATAAAAAAATGTTTGACATTTTATTTAAAATATTTTCTTAGTATTTTTCTTAAAAAGAAAATAATCATAATAATGAACACAAAATTATACAAGTGCATTTAGATAAGTTACAAAAGTTAAAAAATTACATATAAAATGCTCTTAAAAAACATACAAGTATGATGAGGATGATGAATAATAATGTTTATTGAATTGTAAAAATATTTTTGTTTCTCTTGAGAAAATTTAAATAAAATTTTACTTTAAATTTTCTTTTACATAACAAATATTTGATACAAACATTCGTTTGATACACAGTGCATTGAATATTTCTTTAACAGAGTTTTGATTTTCTTCTTCTTTTTTTTATATAAATGTTAGTTAATTAAATTTGATAATAAAGAAAAAATACTTGTTAGATAATTTAATAAAGTGATTTAGAAAATTTGGATTTTAAATACTTTTGAAAAAAGTTGAACCAAATTTTAAAAAAATTTTGTTTTTATAAAGACATTGTAAAAATGGACGCTACTTAGAAACTAATTTTAACAAAATGTATATAGTTGGTTTTGATTTATGATTTAAAAAAGTTTGATTGTAGTATGTTTTTCATAATTAAATCTAAACAGTAATGATTGATACAATATGGCAATTTTGGAGTAGTGATGGTGGTTTTGTGTGGCAACATTGGTGAGAACTTTAGAGTGTTTTTTTAAATCAATTTAATTGGCAGCATTTTCTTGTAACAATGTTGCCTCGGTGTTTTATATTTTGTGGTTGATGGCGCTGCTAAGTGTGGTTTTTGCTTAAAATTTTCTAATATTAAAATTTATTTAGTTTGCTTTATGAACAAAGTTTTGTATACAAAAAAAAAAAAAAAATTATAAAAATGATTAGTTATATTCATAACTCCCTACTCTGTACTACACAGTAGTAATTTAATTTAAAAAAATAATAATTTCTTTATAAAGGGAGCCAGATAATTTCTAAAATTCTAAAAAAAAAATAATGTTATAAAATAAAAACTTAAAATATGGTAAGAACAGAAAAGGAAATTAAATGAAAGTGAAGGGACGAATTTGTTTTTATGAATATAATGGTTAACACAATGAGATTGTGGAACACTATCAACCACGCCATGTCAACAAACTCCAACCTCGTTTAGCTGGTGGTGTAGTATTGTATAGATTATCTTGTTGTTGCTGCTGCTGCTGCTGTTCGGATTGTTGCTCTTGATCTACAGATGACCGTAGTACAGTATGTTTGAATACGGATCTCTTAAATTCCTCTGGTGATGGTTTATAGGCCTCAAGTTTATTCCGGTATTTATTGTATTGCTGTTGCGATGTCTCTGTGGTAAACGTCTGTGAGCCGCCGTACGTCTTGGAGCCGAACGAGTAGCCTCCGTAGGTTGATATTTTTTTCGTGGCTGTTGACGTGATTTGCTGTTGTAATTGTAGATGTTGTTGTTGTTGCTGTTGCGTTTGTCGTACTTTGTAGGACGCCTGTTGATAATGATGTTGATATTCATTAGAATATTTAGTATTTTCATTGTTATTGTTATTATTGTTTTTGTTATTATTGGGGTTATTGTATTGTGTATTTGTAGTAGTGCTAGTGAATTGTGTTGTTTGTTGTTGTTGTTGTGTGTTATATGTATTGTATGAATTATAATTGTTAGTTACTTTGTTATTGTTGTTGTTGTTTTCATACGTTTCAATTGAATTGCTGCTAAAACCCGTTGAACTCTCGGGAGCAGCACATAAGCCCTGATAACGTGGTGATGGTTTCATTCCATACGACGAACAGGCAGGTTTACCAACTTCATAAGGTTTTAAGCCAACTACGTTGCCACTGGAAATAAAATTAAAAAAAATTGATAAATTAAAAAGTCTAGATTATAAATTGAAACATTAAGGAAGGACCTTATTCATAACAGTTTATCAAAGGTTTATAAGACAATTTTTTTCTACAAAATTTGTTTTATAAACCTTTGGTAAATTGTTATAAAAAAGAGATTTTCTAAAATAAAACATTTCAACTAGGTTTTTTAGGAACTCAGAAGTATGAAATGCAAACATTCATTTTTATGGTCATATTATTGAAATTATCCAAGAATATATTTTAGTTTATGGATTTTAATATAAAATCTAGAAAAATTTATACTTAAGTGGGACTCGAACTCGAGCTTGAAAAATATTCAATAAATAATAAAATCTAAATATTTTTCAGCTTTATTCAAAATAATGTTTAAAACTAATTCTTACCCTGGACCATAATTGCAAACATATAATTTATTGTATTTAGTGGTATCTTTATATTCCGTAAAACCGCAACCCACCAAACTTGTTTCACCCCAAACCAACTGTAAAAAAAGAGAAAAAATTGTCAAATTTAATTCCAAACTAAATAATATAATTTAAATAAATATTTACCTGAGAATAATGACCAGTTTTCGATGACCAAGCATCACCAAATTGATATTTTTGTACTTCATCAAACCATTTCTGTATGCGAGAGGCAAAATCACCATCATCTGGTTCCAAAGGGGCGGTACTCCAAATAATAGCCATATTTTGACCCATAGTAAAACGATCTTTAGAAAAAAAAGGAACATGAAAAAATATTTCTCTCTTAATAGTTTAATTTCAAAATAAAAAAGAAACTTACTTATGGTCCTATGAGGATCATGTCTAAATTCACAATTTTCTGCCCACTGTTGAGCCCTTTGTGCCAGCTCATTATCCCATACTATTTCACGCATATTTTCAGCACCCGGTTGTCCAGGATAACGGCCGGTAGCCACTGTTTGCCTTAATCTGTTGTGTTCTTTTAGAATTATGTCTTTTTCTTCTTCTGTGATGCCAGCAGCTAAAAACAGAGAAAGAAATTTGTTTAATTAATTAGATATTCTAAAATATGGGCTAAATTTATATTTCTTTTATATTTTTTGTGACTTAACCACAAACTAGATTCTTTTTTTTTTATTAATTATTTTTTTTATTTAGTGGTTTTTTTATGAGAGTTCTTTTTTCACTGCTAACGATTGAGTCATTTCTATTTTTATTTAACAATTTTTACGATTTTAGTTTCTAGTCGCTCTTTTTTTTTTTTTTTGTTCATTGGATTAAAAATATATATAAAACTAAGAAATAATACTTTAAAATTGTTTTTAACTAATTTGAATTTAATCATTGGTTATTATTTTTTATGATTTTACGACTATTTGGTTTCTTTTACGTACCAAAGTTTTAATGCTTAAGTTAATATTTTAACGAAATCTTTTTTTTTTTTTTTTTAATAATAATTATGTAAAATGTAGAAAAAAACAACAAATAAGAGGAGGATTTCTTTGTTTTTAGTAACAAAAAATTGTGATTTGATATGTTTTTTAAATTTATGCATAAATTGTTTAAAGAGAGTGTGGATTTAATTAGCATAATTTCACGTGTCAAATATACCAATACAAAATTTTGAAAAAATATATAAAAATAAAACTAGTTTTGTGTTGTTAAATTAACAAATAAAAATTAAGCTGGTATAAATGTATGAAAAGTTATATATTTTATAATAAAAACAGGTTATTTTGTTATAATTAAATGGGCCAAAAAAAAAAGTTCAAAGGGTGTTAGACTTTAAAGAAAAGTAACTTTATTAATACAGTTTAATAAAAAGCAATTTGATTAGAAAAAGAGTTTAATTTAAAAACAAAAATTGATAGAATTTAAGCGCTTAAGCAAATAAAGAGCAAGTAAGGTTTGCAACCTCACTCTCTAGTTAAACGCCAAAGTAAATAGAGAGCAAATGTATAATTTTCTTTCTTGCTTTTTTACTAAAGACATAGAATTTGTATAAAATGTTGATTTACTTCAAAAAAATATACTCAAAAAGTATAATTAAAAGGTTTAGGGGTTAAAATTTCAGTTGTACAGTACTAATTTCAAAATCTATAACATTTTGCTCAAAAAAGGTTTAAAGTAAAAATTTTTGTATATTCTGCATTTAAAACCTTTAAAAAAGCCAAGATAAATTAACAAGAAAAACCTTAATATTTATAAAAAAATCTTTATATCACAGTGGCATTTTAAAGCTCAACAATGATTATTATCAAAATCAATTTAACTGTGAAAAACAACAAATGAACCTTAAAATTTTAATACAAAATGACAAATTGCTTATAAAAACTGATTACCACAATGATTAATTTCCGTAAAATCTAAAAAAAAACCCAAACATTATCATAAACTATTTAAAAGCCCTAAATTGAATTGGACAGACGCTGCAGAAAAGACAAAGATAAAACCACAAAATGTAATGTTAAACGTCACTTAGGACATTAATTAAAGGAACAAGCTGTAAGACTACAAAACAAAGAGATGAATAAAGTAATGTTTATAAAAGACAAGATTAAAATAAAGTACTTTATCTGTTTATTAACTATTTATCAGCGACAGACACAATAAACATAAACAATATTGATTAACTTTACAAAAAAAAAAAAAAAACAACACGAAATCCAAGAAAAAACAAAACTTCAACAATAAATGTTAAACACAATTGTTTAAGAAAAGCCATCATTTAAGTTAACAAGTATTGACGCATACATCGATAGTATGAGTAGCCGGCAACAGCAGCATTCTCATCATCAGCTGCATCAATGAAGCATTAACAAAAACGAAAGACTTAAGCAAGCAACTTGATTTTTTTTTTTTGCTGTTGTTGCTTAAGATCACTATCACTTTAAATAACGTACATATTAATCTTCTTTTTTTATAAATTTATAAAAAACTCTTAGAGTGTTTTTTTGTTAATATTTTAGAATGTATGTTTAATTTTAGTTTTGTAAAGAAAAAACTTGGTTTTAAATTAAGAAATAGTTTTTTTTTCTTATTATGTGTGTAGTGTGTTATTTTTCTGACAAATTGTATTGACTAGACAATTTGTCTAGAAAATATAAAAGATTTTCATTTACGACAACTTTTTAAAGAAAATTTACAATAATTGTTATAAACATCCTATTAAAATTTTAGTCTAATTTCTAAGAACCCTACACAGAGGGAAAAAGAAATATACACGTCTGGTACCAAATGGACACCAAAGAGTTCATAATTTTTCAATAACATCCGTTGCCAAAGTATATACATATGTACGACAACACTATGTAATGTTGACAACGCAACGTTGTCAACATTGCAACAATTTGTTGTTGAAATCCAAATTTTATAAAGTTTGGTGTAAATTTGGTACCAGGCGTGTACATTACATAGTGTTGTCGTACGTATGTATATACTTTGACAACGGATGTTATTGAAAAATTATAAACAGTTTGGTGTCAATTTGGTACCAGGCGTGTATATTTCTTTTTCCCTCTGTGTAGAAAAGAGGTTTTTTTTTCCAATTTATACAGATGATTTATCTATATAAAAAAACACTGCATTGCTCTGAAAGTCTCAAAAGAACTTTCATTTGAGCTGGTCTAGTCTCGACTGTTAAAGAAAAGTAAATCAATATGGAAGATTAATGCTGCACTTTTAATAGTCGCATGACCATATGAAGCCCTATTTCTATTCCATACATTCGAGAAACTGAGTCATATAACATAGTTTAAAAGCTACTTGCTTTAACCATAAAATCAATTAATAACAAGTTTATTATATTTAATAGAGTCTTAGAATTTGTCTATTTTGTATGTATTTATAATTTGCATAAGATTTATGAGTTTGTATTTTGTATTCAATAAAAATTCATTTAAAATTTTGTGGGTCATTTTTATTTATATTGATTTGAAAATGTTTCAAATATTCTCACACTTCCTATTTTGAAATTGCCAACAGAAAATTAACATTTAAATTATATTAATATTTCAAGATCATTTTATTAAGTTTATTTAATTGCCTAGCAGACGCCATAAAATTTTTTATTCAAATCAAATGATCTATATTTTAAATATACGAGGGTGGCTATAAACATATTTGAATTAATTGGCAAAATTTGCCAATTTCTTTAAAGAAAAACGGGAACTAACATAACGCTAGTTTTGTGGCTTTAGACTTTGCACTTGTTAGTTTAGCTCATCATGATTATGAATATCCCGCAAATCTTCCTTTTTAAAACCTTGAGTTATAAATTAAAATAAAAAACTATATTCTTTCCTTTAATTAGTGTATTATTGCAGTTTTAAGCTACTCATTAAAACTTTATAATATTTAAAAAAAATAATCATATTTTTTCATAAACACTTAAAAATAAGCCGCAAAAAGGTTTAATTTTTTCAGTTTTTTTTTTTTTCTTATTAATTTGCCCCTTTTATTGTGGTTTTTCATTTTAAATATCATTTATCATTTCACAGATATACAGCGTCTTATAAACATATTTATGCATATTTTTCTGTGGCTTATTAAAATTTTTAATTGCATTATTAGCACGAGTCTCGTTTGTTGTAAAACAGTTTTATTTATTGAAAGTTTTGCGGCTTTTAGTAGCAGACTTAAAGGCGTCATTTTTGTTAACAGATTTCCGTATTGTTTTTTTTGCAATACATTAATATTTTTTTGTCGCTTTTTTTTAACAATTATTTAAAATTACATAGAGCATGTAAAATTAATATGCATGTTAAATTGTACATTTTAGTGTTGATTTTAATTAATGTCAATTTATCTTGTTAAATTTTATATAAACAAAATGTTTGTATTATTTTGTATCATTTATTAACTTTTTAAAGTTGTCTTGTAGTTGTCATAAAAAAATATTTAACAGTCATTAAAAATAATAAGCAGGATTTCATTATATTTTTTGAATATTGTATTGATAAAAACTAATTATTAAACTAGAGCATGATGAACATTTTTTTCACTTAAACACACGCAAACTCTTGATTTATAAACAATATACAACAACTAATACTTATACACTATTTCAATTTTAAGCCTGGCAACGGCAGAGAGCATCAAGTACACAGGGGGAAAAAGAAATATACACGCCTGGTAACAATTTGACACCAAACTGTTTATAATTTTTCAATATCATCCGTTGTCAAAGTATATACATACGTACGACAACACTATGTAATGTTGACAACATTGCAACAATTCGTTGTCGAAATCTAAATTGTATACACATCCGTTGTCTAAATGTCAACAAACGTGGCAAGCTCACTATTGGCAACGGATTGTTTGTCAATAGTTATTGTTGTCAATAGTTGCGTTGTCAACATTACATAGTGTTGTCTTACGTATGTATATACATTGACAACGGATGTTATTGAATAATTATGAACTCTTTGGTGTCAATTTAGTACCAGGCGTCTATATTTCCTTTTCCCTCTGTGTATGTTTGCTCTATTTATTTTTTTATGCATGCCCATACATATGCAATGGACTCTCGTACTCTTGCTTTCAAGCGTACGCAAGCTCTCACGTTCATAAAAAACAAACAAAACTAGTCAGAGAACTTATTTTTACTATTTGCCGATATGCCCTTTTCCAATGTAGAAGAGCTTTTTGCCTATATCTGCTTCAAAATTATTTTATAATTTCTAACATCATTACAATCTTCTTACACGGAAAATATATGCTGTCGTTTTCTCTTTCTGCCCATCACTGACTATAAAAAGAACATATTACAAAAATCTTGTTACCTCAAAAGATACTGTTATAGCGCACATTTTACGATCGAATATTTGTAAACCATATTCTCTTAAAGTTCGCGTTAAACATAAATTTATTCATTCATTCATGTATTTAGAACGTCACAGCAACAAAACGCTTGTTAATTAAACGAAAAACAAGAATTCTTTATAAAAATAAAATTGGATTAAAATGTACATGACACAACACCAACTAAAACAAACTTCAAAACGTTCAAACATACAT